GGCCTGGCCAGGCTGAGCTCCGTCTTCCTGCGTCCCCAGCGTGAATTGCCGCCTCCGGCTCCACCGGCTGGCATCACCCGCTCTAAGTCCAAGCATGAGCTAAAGCTGCTGGAGAAGATCCCAGAGAATGCCGAGGCCACGGTGGTCCTCGTGGGTATGTGGGGTGGGTCTTGGGGGCGGGGGGCCTGGTGCTGGGCCTACCCTGGGGCTGGGGGCTGGGGCCTAGGAGGTGGCCTGTGCCCTGCTCTTGCCCACGATGACCCCCCGCCCCAGGCTGCGTGGAGTTCCTCTCCCGCCCCACCATGGCCTTCGTGCGGCTGCGGGAGGCAGTGGAGCTGGAGGCCGTGCTGGAGGTGCCTGTGCCCGTGCGCTTCCTCTTCCTGCTGCTGGGCCCAAGCAGTGCCAACATGGACTACCACGAGATCGGCCGCTCCATCTCCACCCTCATGTCGGACAAGGTTGGCCCCTCCCCAGAGCCCCCTGGGCCCTCCCAACCCCCAATCTCACCCAGCCCTGCTCCAGGCCCCCTGGCTCTCGTCCTCTGCCCTCACCAGTTCTAGTCCTACCTTGGCAGCAATTCCATGAGGCAGCGTACCTGGCAGACGAGCGGGAGGACCTGTTGGCCGCCATCAACGCCTTCCTGGACTGCAGCGTGGTGCTGCCGCCCTCGGAAGTGCAGGGCGAGGAGCTGCTGCGATCCGTCGCTCACTTCCAGCGCCAGATGCTCAAGAAGCGGGAGGAGCAGGGCCGGCTATTGCCCACAGGGGCTGGGCTGGAGCCCAAGTCGGCCCAAGATAAGGGTACGGGCCAGTGCAGGCCGGGGGCCGGGACTGGGTTGCCTGGGGTAGGGGCTTGGGGGGCCAGGTTGGGGGTGGTCTGTCTGTATGTGGAAGAGAGCGGGGTGGGCAGGAAGGGGGTTGTGGCAGGTGCCCTGATAGAGGCCTGGGTTGCAGCACTCCTGCAGATGGTAGAGGCGGCAGGTGCAGTGGAAGATGATCCCCTTCGGCGGACAGGCCGGCCCTTCGGGGGGCTGATCCGAGATGTGCGGCGCCGCTATCCCCACTACCTGAGTGACTTCCGAGACGCACTTGACCCCCAGTGCCTGGCCGCCGTCATCTTCATCTACTTTGCGGCCCTGTCTCCTGCCATCACCTTTGGGGGGCTGCTGGGTAAGGACAGGCTTCAGGTGGGGGTGGGGCGGGGTGTGCACGGGGCCCCACTGCCAGCTCCTGAGCTGGTTCCTGCCACCCCAGGAGAGAAGACGCAGGACCTGATCGGGGTGTCAGAGCTGATCATGTCCACGGCGCTCCAGGGCGTGGTCTTCTGCCTGCTGGGCGCCCAGCCACTGCTGGTGATCGGCTTTTCAGGGCCCTTGCTGGTCTTTGAGGAGGCCTTCTTCTCGGTGAGGGTGCACAGGCTCCTCGGGGGCTGGCTCTTTCTGCCCAGCTCCAGCAGCCCCTCCTCTTGCCCAAACACTCCTGCCCTGTTAGCCCCAGGGCTCTAGACCTGACTGTGCTCCCCCACCTCCCCACCCCCGTCCAGTTCTGCAGCAGCAACGACCTGGAGTACCTGGTGGGCCGCGTGTGGATCGGCTTCTGGCTGGTGCTTCTGGCCCTGCTCATGGTGGCCTTGGAGGGGAGCTTCCTGGTGCGCTTTGTCTCCCGTTTCACTCAGGAGATCTTTGCCTTCCTCATCTCCCTTATCTTCATCTACGAGACCTTCTACAAGCTGGTTAAGGTGGGCAGGCCCCCCGAGAACTGGGCCGGGAGGGGCGAGGCTTCAGGACTGGAGGGAGCCCAGGGGCATCCTGCCCCTCTCTTGCTCTATCTTCTGGGTGTGAGGCCAGGCTGGCCCATAGCTCCCCTGGGCCACAGTCCACGGAGCCCACACGCAGGCTGGTTTTTCTTCCTGCCACCCCCACCCTCCCTGTTGCCAACACACACACCAGGGCTTCAGGTCAATCTTAAAAACACATTTTTAATAACAAAGGTAAGCTGTGCTTTGTTAAAGTGGCCAACAATCCAGAAGTGTAAAAGGGAAGACCCCCCGAGGTGACAGACACATCACAGTCCGGGCATCAGACCCATGTCTGTGTCAGGCTCCGAAGAAGCCATGCCCCCATTGGCCTCTGTGCGCCACATCCTGCTCCTCCAGGCCTGCTGGAGCTGCACTCTGCCGCTGCCCGGAGTTAGACAGCCCCTCTCTTAATCCCCAGTTGCCCCGTGCTGACATCTGGTTGCCTCAGTCATTTTCTTAATCAACGAGACAATCTCCTTGAGGGCAGGCTGGCCAGCCCCGACTCTGCCTGTCCCCCTCAGCATACAGCTGAGCCCTGAAATCTCACCAGTTTAGCTGATGGAGTCCTTTGTCCTCTCCCCAGATCTTCCAGGAACACCCCCTCCACGGCTGTTCCGTCTCCAACAGCTCCGAGGCAGACAGCAGTGAGAACGCCACATGGGCGGGGGCAGGAGCCACACTGAGGCCAGGAAATGGGAGCTCGGCTGGGCCGTCTGGGCAAGGGAGGCCCCGGGGCCAGCCCAACACGGCCCTGCTGTCGCTGGTGCTCATGGCTGGCACCTTCTTCATCGCCTTCTTCCTGCGCAAATTCAAGAACAGCCGGTTCTTCCCTGGCCGGGTGTGTGGGCTGGAAGGCTGGAGGGAGGCGGGAGCCAGGGGCAAAAAGGGGGTGACTCGGAGTTAGGGCTGAAGTGAGGCAGGGGCTTCTGAGCATGGTGCTTGCTCACAGGTACGGCGGGTGATTGGGGACTTTGGGGTGCCCATCGCGATCCTCATCATGGTGCTTGTGGATTACAGTATTGAGGACACCTACACCCAGGTAAGGTGGAGCACACGCAGCAGTAAGGAGGTGCTGCCTGGCACTGGCCTCTGGCTGTTCCCTCCAGCCCCCCACCCCAGAGCTGCCTCTTGACTGGGCAAAGACCAGGCCTTTTCCACCACATGCCCTCGGTGCAGCTCAAGGCTCCCCCTCCAAGGCCCACTAGCTCCTGTCCCTGCTCTCTGCCCTGCAGAAGCTGAGCGTGCCCAGCGGATTCTCGGTGACAGCCCCAGAAAAGCGAGGCTGGGTCATCAACCCCCTGGGGGAGAAGAGCTCCTTCCCCGTGTGGATGATGGTTGCCAGCCTGCTGCCCGCCATCCTGGTCTTCATCCTCATTTTCATGGAGACGCAGATCACCACGTGAGTGGTCCTAGCCAAGGCGCGTGCTGTGTAGACAGGAACGACCTGGTACGTGGAGGGGCCAGAGGCCCAGCCAGGCTGGGGGACGCAGCTGCATTGGGTGAGGGGAGCCCAGGATGCCAGAGTGGGCGCTGGAGTTTGTTTCGTAGGCAGCAGAAAGTCTCAATGACGTTTGCTGGAATGGGCACCGAACGGGATGGGAGTTGTCCTTAGGGCAGGGAGGGCAGCACGGATAGGGCTCAGCTCTGTGATGGAACTCTCATCCTGACAGAATGGGCAAGGACCACTAGGTTCCAAAAACAGACAGAGGCCACTGGCTGGGCACTCTGGAAAGACACAGTTGTCTGCCCAGCTGGGCCCGGGCCTCAGTGAGCGCCTGTCCCTGCTCAGGCTGATCATCTCCAAGAAGGAGCGCATGCTGCAGAAGGGCTCTGGCTTCCACCTGGACCTGCTGCTCATCGTGGCCATGGGTGGCATCTGTGCCCTCTTCGGCCTGCCCTGGTTGGCTGCTGCCACTGTCCGCTCCGTCACTCATGCCAACGCGCTCACTGTCATGAGCAAGGCCGTGGCGCCTGGGGACAAGCCCAAGATCCAGGAGGTCAAAGAGCAGCGGGTGACGGGGCTGCTGGTTGCCCTGCTTGTGGGTATGTTTGCCTCTTGCCCCTGCCCTTCCCAGAGGGGTCTTGGGGCCACTGGGGGTGGGGAGCCCTGGGGCCAACTGTTTCTCCTCCTGCTCCCCCAGGCCTCTCCATAGTTATTGGGGATCTGCTCCGGCAGATACCCCTGGCCGTGCTCTTTGGAATTTTCCTGTACATGGGAGTTACCTCCCTGAACGGGATCCAGTTCTATGAGCGGCTGCACTTGCTGCTCATGCCGCCCAAACACCACCCGGATGTCACCTATGTCAAGAAGGTGAGACCCTGCTCGGAAGGGCCCCATGCCTCTGCCCCCTCCTGGTCTGTGTGGGTCACCCTCCAGCCCCCCATCTACCCACTTTGGCCAGCCACCATTCAGTCTGTGCAGACCCGGCTCTGGTAAGCACCCAGGAAGTTACTTCCATCCCCACCCCAGGGAGGGGAAAGGGGTTATCTGTCCTCTGGATGCCCCTCCAGGGACCGGGGCCCTCAGGTTGGGGAGAAACCTGGGCTCACCTGTCTCTTCCGGCCCTGCCCACTCCCAGGTTCGGACCCTCCGTATGCACCTGTTCACGGCCCTGCAGCTGCTCTGCCTGGCCCTGCTCTGGGCTGTCATGTCCACAGCAGCCTCCCTGGCCTTCCCCTTCATCCTCATCCTCACGGTGCCGCTCCGCATGGTAGTGCTCACCCGCATCTTCACCGAGCGAGAGATGAAATGCGTAAGGCCTCCTGTCCTTCCTCCCCAGCCCTGCCAGCCCCATCCTTGGTCCCTGCCAAGGCTGCTGTGGGTCGGGGTCAACATTTCTGACTCTGTCCTCCCCCACAGCTGGATGCGAATGAGGCGGAGCCAGTGTTCGATGAGCGGGAGGGTGTGGACGAGTACAATGAGATGCCCATGCCTGTGTAGCTGCCGCCTGGATGGACAGCTGAGGACGGATGGACGGAGGGAACAGGGGCTGGGGGGTGCTCTCCCCATCCCCCTCCCTCCTCATTTTTATTTAAGTGAATAATTTAAAAGTCCCCTTCCCTCCCCCTTCCCCCCCTCCTCCCGCAGTAAAGTGCTTCGGCCACCACCTATCCCTGGCTTTCTGTCTCTGTATGGGGGGGCATGAATGGAAAAGAGATGAGGGGACCCAGCCCACTCCCTGTCCCAGAAACGAGATGCGCAATGGGGAAGGGAAGGGACTTTAATGAGAAACCAAAACAGAGGGAACCAAAGTGCAAATTGTCCACCCCCCATAGGGGGGCCATCATGAACCCGTGTGCACCCCCTCACCCCCCTTCGGGCCCCCAGCGGAGTCCCAAGGCCTGGAGCTTCTGCCTCAGGTAGCTCTTGAGCTGCGGCAGGCCTCTCTGTGACTCCAGTTCCTCGAAGGGTAGCTGTGGGGGAGAAGGCAGCAGGTTACTAACCCACAGGGCCTGCAAGGTGGGGGTGGGGTGAGGATGCACATGGAGTCGAGCGACGGAGGCAGAGAGGCTCTCACCGGCAGGAGCTGGTAGCCCATCAGGCCCAGGTGCCGCTCCCGCAGAGCCCGGGAGCCCAGCAGCACTCTGCCATCCCGGCAGAAATGCCAGCGTTCCCGCAGCATCAGCACCACCCTGGAGAGGGAACAGACGGGGGCTCAGGGTTGCTCTCTACGGAGGCCTAGGAGGGTCTCCTACCCTCTTCCCTTACCTTTGGGCAGGGTCGTGGGTAGTGGGCTGAGAGGCAGCCTGGCCCCGTGGACAGGACCTGGGAGGATATGGTAGGAAGGGGTCCTGGGTCCTTACAGGAAGCACAGCACCAGAGCTGCTGACACACAGCAGGAAGTCTGGAGGGGGGGGAGACAAAGGGCCACTGGCTTTTAGCTAGGGCTCCATGTTGCTGGCCACCGCCCACGCATCTGGAGCTCACCTGTGCAGTAGCCAGGAGGCACAGTCAGGTCCTGGCGGTATTTCTCCTCCCCCAGCAGCTGGCGCAGCCCCTCAGCAACTATGTCCTTGTGACTGAGGGAGAAGGAGCACCGCTCTCAGGAGTCTCGTGCTAGCTTGGTCCGCCTAGCTCCGTGACCCCAGGCAAATGCCTTTGCTGCCTCAAGGCTGTTTTTTTTCTTTGTGACTGCTAAGAGTGCATCAGCGTGGACAGTTCACGGTCCCTCTGGCTTTTCTACTCTGTGCTTCTTGCGGGCCAGCCCCTCCCGTCTCCCCCTCCCCCAAGGTGCCCATCCACCTGTACTTGGAGCGGGCACGGTCAGTGATGAGCGGCTGGGGGAAGATGGGCACTTGCTGCCTTCGGGGAAGGCGGGGACCCTGGTATCCTGGGAGCTCCAGCTCCACGGCCGTGTCCAGCAGGGAGAGGTAGCGCCGCACAATCAGGGCGTGAGGGGTGCCTGCGGGACAGTGGACTGAAGCTTGCTGGGCTGCAGACTCCCGACCCCACTTTCCCTTCCCAGCGGCCCTCCTGGCTGCGCACCACTGACGTGGTTGATGAAACTCGGGGAAAAGACAAAGTGCAGGACTCGGAAGGGTAGGCACCGCAGCTGACACAGGGACATTAAGATGTTGACCGTGGCCAGGGGGGCCACCCCGGCTTCCCGAGCCAGGATCCTCTCAAGGCAGGGCATAAACTGCTGCTCCAGGGGCAAGTAGTTCAGCCGCCCAAAGGGCAGGACCAACTTCTGTACCACCTGTGGAGAAAGAGCAGCCCGTCACCCAGCACAGCACAGAACGGTTCTCCAACATCCTTTACAAGCTGGACCCGGGGAGGCGTGGCCTGCAAGCTTATAACATCGAACAATCCTACTACCCGGGACATACACACCGGAAGTTCAACAGCATGAGCAGTCTTGAGCCCCACGTGATTCATCCACACAAGCAGAGGAGACATCGCTGTGGGTCTGGCCCTGAAGGCTCAGGAGTGGGATCAATGAAGCTAGGACAGCGCTAAGAGTGCCCGGAGAACTGCAGAGAACCAGGCATAAGTGCTGGGGAGCTGGACAAGCCGAGGGTGTGAGTAAGATGGAGTCCCGGGGGAACGAGCAGAGAGCCTCCCTGGGTTGTCTGCTGCAGGAAGCAGCCAATCAAGCTGGACAGGCAGCTGAGCCTGACAGGGTGGCTGAGGATGACTAGGAGAGGAGCATGGGAGGTTGGGAGGTAATCCCACCTTGCTGTTGAGCTGGGCTTCCTGGACCACCAGGAAGTGGGCAATGGCTTCCAGAAGCTGGGGCTCCCGCAACCGGTGCCGGGCCAGGTGCTGGGCCAGTAGCACCATCACGTGCGGGGTCAGTTCCTCTGGCCCGGCCTCTGCGAAGAACAGCCCATCACGCTGGACCCTCAGGCCAGACCTCCAGACTAGATTCCACCTTAGCCCAGACACCATCACCTGTCTCCTCCTCAGCCCCTCCCCACCTGCCGTTAGCTCCCCCAGCACCTGCCAGGCTGCGGATGAGGTGCTGCCGTGGATACCGCAGGAAACGGGGGCAGCTCAGAGCAGCTTCCAACCTTTGCCCACCATGAAGGACAGGTTGCAGAGGGGGAGGCGGCTTCGGAGGGAGGCGGAACCTTCGCTCCCGCTCCAGGGCACACACCAGGGGCCCATCTGACGGGAAGCCTGAGAGGGAGAGGGTAAGAGAAGGCAGTCCTGCTAACAGGGAGCTGCCCTGCTCCGCTCCAGTCATGGGGATTAGTTAGTGAATTCCCAACCTTCCTTGTCTCCACATTCTGGGCTGGAAGGTTTGCTCTAGCATAAGTGGGAACACTGAAGAAATGTGAAATGTTGCGTGAACAGGAGGTATCACAACAGCCTGTGGGGAAGGCCTTATACAAAGAGGACAAATAAGTTCTCATCTCCTGCCAATGGTGACATTGTCATGGCTTCCTAGAGCACTAGATTACAAGGGATCTGGAGTGGCGCCCTAGGGAGGCTGGACAAATGCTGCTTGACCCCCCGTGTCTGCTGTGGATGCCGGGGAGCAGCAGCCAGTGTGCGGGGCCCGTGCCATTCCTGGCAAAACCGGAGAGGTGCATTCTGACAGTGATCTCAGGGCCTCTGCTGCTCTCTCTATTCTTCCACTAACACCCACCCCCCAGACCCCTCCTCACCAAGTAAGACTGCAAGGTGCAGACACACGTGGATGGTGTGAATGTCAAAGGAGGGGCAGTTTCGGATGATGAGCTGACTCAAGTCCTGCAGGGTGGCCTGCTCCACGGGAGGGGGCCGTGGCCGAGACCCCAAGAGCTGGCCCAGACGACGGAGTGCCACAGGGTAGTGGTGGGCACGCACTTTGGTAGGGTTCTGGCCCAGCCAGCGCAGCAGCTCCCCTGGACTTCTCGCCTGTTCCAGAAGCCGCTGCAGCCCCTGCACAGGGCCTGCATGGGGGCCTCCTCCAGCAGGCCGGTCCCCCCACTTGCTGGGCCCCAGATAGCAGGGCTGTACTGGTGGGAGCAGCAGCAGGCCAGACAGCCGAGCAGCAGAGGCCTGGGCAGAGAGCAGGACTCGAAGCATGGAGTTGGGTGATGGAGACCCTGAGGGGTGGCCCAGAAAAGGGGGTGAGGTTTTCTCCAAAGGGGAGAAAGACCTGCTATCTGCTCCTCACCTCACTTCCCGTTCAGAAGGCCTGGGGTCGGAGCAACCTACACTCGTGTTCACCCTTCCTTGTGACCGCTCTGGTCCTCTTCCCCACCCCGCCCCTCTGCCTCCTTCCACTCATTTGAAGCAGCAATCACAGTCCTTCAGCGTGCTCAGCGCAGTGACATTTACAAAGCAGTTCCACATGCATTATCTCCTCTGATCTTCCCTACACGCCTGTGAGGAGACAGGCAGGGCTGGCATTACCTCGATTTCCCAGGTGGAGAAACCAAGGCCCAGAGAAGCGAAGGGGTTAAGTTAAGCCCGAGGTCACGAATCGGGTTAGTGGTGGCGCCAAGCCTGGAGCCCAGCTCGCCCGGTGCGTACGCCCTCCCGACCACCTCACCCTCCCGCAGGAGGCGGCGGCGGCGGCGGCGGCGGCGGCGGCGCGGAGGGTGGAACACGGGCTCCGCAGCCGGACGGTCCTGGGTTCCAAGCTGGGCGCTCCCACTTACCAGCTGCGTGACCTTGGACAAGTGGCTTCGTCTCTCCGCCCAAGCCTCCTCGCCCGTGAAACGAGCACGCGGCGCCCACCTCGCAGAGCGCCCGTGGGGCTGAGAGCGCGGCTTTGCGGCGGCGCGGAGTCGGCGGTGTCAGGGGCCCCCACACCCACCCGGCCCGGGGGCGCCAGGAGACGGTCGTCACTGTCGCCAACACCAACTCCCGCCGCCCTCCCGCGTCCGCCCCGCAGGCGCCGCCCCTACATGACTCCCCAGGCCCCGCGCAGGTCGCTCCCTCAGTCGGTCTCGGGGCCCGGGAGCCGGGCTCCCCGGGCGGCCTCCTCATCGGCGGGCCCCCGAGTCCGCCATCTTCCCAGCAGCCCCGGATCGCCGCCCGGACACCAATCCCGGCTCAGTCGTCCGCCAGCAAAGACGTGGCTCCCGTCAGACCCCGCGCGCCGGGGCGCCGCGAGGCCCCTCCCCCCGTTTCCGGGAAGCTGCGCGCGCGTCGGCGGGGCGGAGCCAGAGGGCTGGGAGCTGAAGCTGGGGCGCAGAGGAGAGGGGAAGCCAGCGGCCGGTGTGGGCAGCCTGTGCAGGAGCGAGAGCCCCGTACAGCCCTTCACTCCTTTTCTCCCAGTCGGCGAGGGCTCCCCGCTCCCTGCCCCCACGGCCCACAAACCCAGATACACACCGAGAGTGAAAACTTCACAGTTATTTAATCTGCGCATGTTCCGGAGAACCCCCTCCGCTCCTCCCAGCTACCCTTCACCAGCCGCCCACAGTCTTTGGGTCCCCAGATCAGCCCAAGAAGCTATGTGTTGGGTCCTCAGAACACTAGGACGGGCCCAGGGGCGTGGCCCGGCTCTGCCCCGGGCCAAGGCAGCGACAGCAGCTGCCTGACGCCGAGGAGGAGCCGACTGTCAGTGAGGCCTGAGGGCCAGCAGCCCCGGGAGGTGGCCCAGAGCCATGGAGGTCACAGGGAGGGGCCTCTGCCGGCCCCCGGAGTGCCCTGCGGCGCACGGCTGGGCTCCAGGGTAGTGGGAAGAGGCAGGCCGGAGAGGCAGGCCTGGGCAGACAGCAGCTCCCACCGTGTCGTGGGGAGCAAGGTCCAGAGCGGCCAGCAACACTGCCGAGAGCCCGTGGAGGCACTACGGACGGTACATGGCAAAGGCCAGGAGACTGAGGAGCAGGGTGAAGCCGGCCAGACCCAGAGTGGCGGTCAGAGGAAAGAAGGGCCGGTACTGGATCTGGCAGTACCAGAGCAGCAGCAGCAGCAGCAGCAGCAGGGGCAGCAGAAGGCTGCCTATTTCCAGCCCTGAGGGGCCTGGTTCTGACCCCGGTGGGCAGGGGGTGTGTGGGGGACCGACCCGCGTGGACACGTGGCAGTGGAGAACGCAGTTGGGAGGGAGGTGAAGGCTGCCCAGGGTCTGGGTATCGTCTCCTAGCAGCTGCCCTTGGTAGATGAGCCGCACCTGCTGTTCCCGGCCGGGAAACTGGGTCCTGAGGAGAGAGGGACCTGGGTAATAGAGCAGGCCTCAGGCAATCCTAGTCCCTTGCCCAGAACAACACTCCCACCCCTCATCTCTGCCCTCCTCCCACCACCCAGGTCATGGCCTCCAAGGGGGTCCCCTCCTGCTACAGGGCAACAACACAGTCTGCAATTTGGGAACTTCAGTTCCCTCATCTATAAAATGAGGGGGAAGTCTCAGATAGCTCTGGTGGCCCTTCCAGGTGTGTGATCACTCCCACCCTACTCTAGCATTTCGTTCCTGTCCTCATCCCAGCTTACCTTTTCAGGGAACCGATGGTGTCGTGGGGCCAGGCCCTGGCCACCTGCTCTGAATCGTTGAGGAATTTCAGCCGTAGTACTAGGGGCTCCTGAGGGGAGTCCGGGGGTGGCGGCGTTGCTGGGAGCGGCGTGCCAGGTTGTGGCTGTGCAGCCTGACCTCTGTGTCTCAAGCTGGGGGTCTCTGCTCCTGGGGCCTCCCCTCTGATGCTGTCAGTGACTGCCATAGCTTCGCTGGGTTGTGCTGGTGTTGGGGTCCCTGACGGCTGGGGCAGCGAGTCGGTGCCCTCGGCGGTGTGTGTTGAGACCCAGGCGAGAGCCAGCACCAGAACGCAGGCAAGCACCGCGAAAAGGATGGTCACCTCATCACCCACCCCTTCAATCAGGGCCATGGCACCCGCCTTGCCCACCACGCTACCAAGCTGGAGAGGCACAAAGAAGCCATGAGGAGCTGGCTCACTGGCCAAGAGCTGTCTCAACTTCAGCAGGCTCCTGAGCCATCCCACCACAACTCTCCTGCAGCCCTCATTCCTCCGCCCCCTTACCAAGTGCCACCCCGGGGGCACAGACCGCTCTGATTCCCAGTCACCCCAAACTTGCCTCGTGTGCCCTCTCCCATCACCAAATGCCAAGTCCTAACTTTTTGTAATCTGAGTTCTTGGTCTCTAACCAGTTCCCCAATTCACCCAAACCCTATCCGAGGTAAGGGCCTTGACCTTTTAAGTAACCTCTCCCCTAAATTCAACCTCCACCAAACTTCACCCAAAGCTTACCTATTCTTCCGTCCACTTCATCCCAAAGTTTATCTACCCCAAAGGTTATCTACTCCGTCGCTAAAGTTTCTCCAAGGGGGAAGAAAAAGGACCTCTATGCCCCCCACCCCCACCCCGTTACCATGTACCCAAATCCCACCCGCGGCACGGGACTGCTTCCCACGGCTTCCCCACACCAAACGTCAAACTCTGCCTTTTGGCAATCCGGAGCCTCCAAGGGTTGCTACCCCTCACCCAACTGGGTCCCTCCTGGTCCACTCAAGCCCCAGCCCGCGGCAGACCGACTCTGCGCCTCCTCTGGAAGCCTCTGCAAACCCAAGCCTCTGCAGACCCCAGATCACGCCCGGGAATCCAAGACTTCGCCCTCCCCACCCCCAACTCCTCCATCACCCCTCCCATCTTCCCGCCCCCCGGAGCCGCGGGAGGACACGGGCGAGCCCCGAGCGGGGCGAGCGGGGGCCAGGGGCAGCGGGGTGGGCGCGGTCACGGCGCGGGTACTCACCGCCCGGCTGCGCCAGCTCCATAGCGGACCCTCGGGCACTTCCGGGCGGGAGGCGCCGAGGTCGCAGACACCTGAAGACACCCCTCCTTCCCCGCCCCCGACGCCTCCGCCTGGCGCATTGTGGGACTTGTAGTGTAGCTCCGTGAGCAGTCCCCGCCCTCCGCCATGCAGACCCACGTGCGGGGCTCGGCGGGCTGGTTCCCGCAAGTAGCTGGGAGGCCGGCGGGGGCGGGTTTAGGGGTTGTGCTAGCGCGCAGAGGTTTGGGCGGCAGCAGGATCCGCCCCCTCCCCCGCCCGCAGCCAGGGCATCTGTCACTCCAGAAACAGACGTCAGCCAGAGCACGTCAGCGCACCCGTTTCGAGATGCAGACTCTTGGGGGCTCAGATAGCCTCTACCCCGGCCTACCCTTATGTAAGAGTGGACGCCAGCAGGCACCTTGGGCCCGCTAAATGGATTCTTCAGCCCAGAACCCAGTACCCACGGGCTGCCCCACCAGGATGCCTGAGGATACCAGTCCCCGGGGCTGGCCAGGGTGGCTTGGGCTGTCCTGTTGCCCTGGTCCCCTCCTCCACCTCGCCCCTGCAAGACTGTGAAAGAAGCATGGACTTTGGAACCTGGCACAAACGCTGATCCCTTGTCCCGTGCTTATCAACTATATGACCTTGGATGCGTTATTGAATTTCTTTGACCCCTAAACTTCTTCATTTCTAAAACATACCTCATAAGGCAATTGTAAGGAAGAAATTAGGTTGTTTATTAAATGTGTGAAAACTATGTCAGGTGGGGCTGGCCCGGTGGTGTAGTGGTTAAGTTCATACCCTCTGCTTCTGTGGCCCAGGGTTGGCAGGTTCGGACCGGGGCATGGACTTATGCAGGGCTCATCAAGCTATGCTGTGGCAGTATCCCATATACAAAATAGAGGAAGATGGGCACAGATGTTACCTTAGGGCTAATCTTACTCAGCAAAAAGGGGAAGATTGGCAACGGATGTTAGCTCAGGGCTGATCTTCCTCACAAAAAGAAAAAACAAAAACTATGTAAGGAATCTGCCATTCAGTAGATATTTGCTCACCCAGTTTTAGAACACTCCCTCCACCCAAACCTGGCCCTAGAAATTGGGTCGTTAGCCTGCTACTGTGTAGAGGATGTTGAGTCTCGGCCTGGCCTGGGCCAGCTAATTTCTGTGGATTTTCCCTCCTTCCTCTGGGCTCCTATAGGCACAGAGATCTCACATCCCGGATTTTATAGGCCAGTCTTGATTAAAAGTTGTGTACCCTAGTGTTCCCATAGCACATGCCTACTTGTGGGAGTAAGTACTCCAAGTGTTGCCTTGGGAAAGTCAATTTAGATTTATAACGTACAGAACTAACTTATCTCGGGCTGGCCTGGTGACATAGTGGTTAAGTTTGGGCGCTCTGCTTCAGCGGTCTGGGGTTTGCTGGTTCAGATCCCAGGCACAGACCTACGCACTGCTCATCAAGCCATTCTGTGGCGGCGTCCCATATACAAAATAGAGGAAGATGGGCACGGATGTTAGCTCAGGGCTAATCTTCCTTAGCAAAAAAAGAGGAAGATTGGCAGCAGATGTTAGCTCGGGGTCAATCTTCCTCACCAAAAAAAAAAAAAAGAAAAAGAACTAAGTTATCTCTAGTTCCTTCCCTTCCATTCATTCATTTATTCCACAAACATTTATTAAATGTGTATTATATGTCGGGCACTGTGCAAGATGCTGGGAATACAATGGTGAATCAGGCCCTGTCCCTGCCTTTATATGGCTCATGTATTAATAGAGGAGACAGGCAGGTAGACAGCCCACCAGCGCTAAAACAGGTGTGCTGGCTGCTGGGGCAACACATTTGAGGAACTCTTTACCTTCAGCATCTCTCCCGGGGGGGGGGGGGTACCTGGTGCAACTTCCTGTTGTCAATTCTATTTTTTTTTTTTTGAGAAAGATCAGCCCTGAGCTAACTTCCATTGCCAATCCTCCTCCTTTTTTTCCCTTTTTCTCCCCAAAGCCCCAGTAGATAGTTGTACGTCATAGTTACACATCCTTCTAGTTGCTGTATGTGGGACACCGCCTCAGCATGGCCTGACAAGCGGTGCGTCGGTGCGTGCCCGGGATCTGAACCCGGCCGCCAGTAGCGGAGCACGTGCACTTAACCACTAAGCCACGGGGCCGGCCCCATCAATTCTAATTAAGCATCTAAAAGAGATGTTAGATACTGCTTTTAGAATTACAGAACATCAGAGCTAGGTGTTGTGTTCAACCACTTGTTTTGTAGATGAAGCCCAGTGAGGGTACAAGACATCCTTAAGATCAAACAGGTAAATAGAACCCATATCTCTCAGGAGCTGGGGAGGCCCCTGGTGTTGATTAGCTTGCATCTAGTTCTTTGGAAGGTACAAGAAACTCAGGAATGGTGACCAGGTTGGTACTGGGGCAAAGTTGTGTGGGTTGCTGAATGAGGGGCAACTTTATGCTGGGGAAAGGTCCAGCTTGGCCTGGGAAGTGGAAGTATGTGTAAAAAGGATATGTGTTAACTGTGCCAGAGAACATTGGGGTGCAGCCACGGCAGGCTGATTGGCTGGGTCAGTGCCCTGCTCATTCCACCTCTGGTGGGTTTTAAGAAAGGTTGGGGAGGGGTGGCTAGCAGAACTGCAGACAGCTTTAGCAATGGGATGCAGAGGAACTGGGACATTGAAAGGAGCTCCCTGGCTCCAGAAGGAGTGGACAGGAACATAGAATGCACAAGGGGGTGAGGACAATTAAGAGAGCCTCTGGTAAGTGTCTTGAATGGGGTGAGTGGGGGAAGAAGGCATAATATTTGATTCCTCTCTTTTTTTCCTCTATGTACCATTGGGTTCCATCAGCGGTCACGGAACCCTCCTCAGTCCAGCAGGAAGGTCTTTTAGGAGAGAGCAGAAATTAAGAGTGGGGATGTTGTTGTTCAAAGTGTCATTTCCAAGGACATCACTGATGACTTTCTCAGGGAGAACTGGAAATAGAAGCCAAGAGCCCAGATTTCCAGTCTGTGCTGCAGCCAGCAGTGGAGAGTCCAGGGGAGGGCTAGAGGGAGAGCCCCAGGGGACGGGGTAGTCTCTAGGGTTGACCTCGGGGCCGGGGACAGGGGAGCTTGTGCTGCACTGAAGGCAGGACGACGTAAGTGAGGCGCAGCCGGTCCTGGGCTGGCGGCCCTCCTTGGCCAATTAGCCGCGTTGATCAGCACCCTCAGGCGTAGGGCACTGTTCGGGCACTGCCGAGAGATCGGACACCCCACTCAGACCAGCACAGGGAGGCGAAAGCGACAGCCGGGGCCAGGAGGAGGCCAGGGCAGCCGTCCCCTGAGAGCAAGTGGCCCTCACGGCGGGTGTGGGTTGGGGCTGGAGAAGAGGCGGAAGGGCCAAGGCTAGGTGGGAGGGGCCGGGGCACCACGGCTGGAGCGCGCGGCTCGGGGGTGGAGGCTGCAGAACCAGGGAGCGAGCGAGGGGCGGGGGCGCTGGGGC